TTTCTTCGACTCTCTGCGATGATGAAAGATCCAGGCAAGAACCCCCAAAATTGAGACAGCACCAATCCCACCCACGATTCCACCAATTATGGCACCCAAGGAGTGATTACTATCTGGAGAATCTGTATCGACAGTGCTGTTACCTTCGCCTGTTGGGCTTACAAGTGAGATGGTCAGTATGCTTGAACTTTTCGATGACATTGTAGGTGTTGGTGTTGCTGTCGTTTTTGACGTTTCTGACGTTGCTGTGGTGGTAGAAGAAAATAAGGTGTCGAAATCTATAGAAATCGGTGTAACAAAAGTGGCTTCCCAAGTTTTCCAGCTCTGTTTATCACTACATGTGATGGATGTATAGACATATGTATCCGATACGAGATACCGCATGGCGCAAAAATCGTTTCCATCCTCATTCCCACCACTATTAGATTAGAATGTCAGTATGATCCGTTCTAGAGCCTATCTCAATCCTTGAATTCTTTCTCTATCTATTCGCCCTTCGAATTTTTTCAACTTTGGTTGTGGATTTTGCAATTTGGAAACAATAAACCCATAGATAGCTCACATACCAAGTTGTAACACGCATATTTGGAACTGATGTCCTTCCACAACTACTTGTACAAGCATACTCGTCGACGCAGACCCCTGCCCAACCACAACTCCTCGGATCTGAAATACCAGCATGGCAAGTTCCAAACATCAATCCATTCTCGTCGACCTGACAAACATCTCCGGGGTATAATTCGAGATCAAAATCTGGAATTTGATAGTTGCCGCATGATTCGACCACTGTTACCCGTTTGACCACATGAAATGTCGGAAAGTCCGGTTTTTGAGGAGGGGTAGTTGGCGCAGGTGCTCTTGTGGAGACTTTGATGCTTGACGAGATGGAAGTTTTGGTTGGAGAAGGATTCTTATGCTTGAAGCCAGTAAGCGCAATCTTTTTGGAAGTAACGTTGTTTGCAAAACAAATGGCGATGATGAAAAGAAGGATCAAAGTATTTCGAGACATCTCTTCAATCTGCGGTTGTGATGTGGAGATGTTATTTGGACATCTTTAAAGGTCGAGGATGTTGACAAGGTGAAAAAAGTGAGGACGCTACGGTGTAACAACAAATCTCTTGTAGTCGTAGTAACAATTATTCACTTCGGAGAGCTTTCTCATATGTTATTGTTGTGGCTGACCAATAGGTAGATGAGGTTCAAATACCAACAGTTGGTTCGAAGTGTTCGGAAATTACATTACCGATGAAGACGAAATTTAGACAAGAACATTCAAAGAATATCTAGATGAGTAGTCAATCTCTTCAAATTATCCAAAGAAATGTTATTGGGCATTCATTAACAATCACATTAAGAGCAGAGACTCTTGAATCAGATAACATACTTCCCACTGATGTCAAACAACAAAGCACAAGTTGAGGAAAGTTCTAGTAGACACCATAACAACTCCCTTCTACCAGCTCACTTCCTATCTATCTATCTCTACTTATTTCAGGGCAATGAAACTTTGGCTCTATTGTTAACAAGTCACATAAACTCCTCGAAGAAGTGGAGCCTTCATCTCTTTTAACGTTGGATGTCTGTGAAGATTCACATTTTTAAATTCACTACTACCCGAAGCAAAGAGAAACACATTTTCAAAGTTTTTAACAAAGATTAATAGGTAACTAACAGTAAGAGAAATGCAAAGCTTGTGATCCAAAAACCTGAGCACAAAAGGAAGAATCAAAGTAAATCAATCAGCTTCTAGCAGTCTCCTCCTCTATTTGAGCTTCTTAGAATATGAACTCATCTACTGTCATTCATTCATTCGTTCTTTCTTCCAGCTATAACACCAAAAATAAAGAGTTTCTTGTTTGTTCTCTAACACCGGTAATATCTCATGAACAGACAGACCAGGCCCTTTCCGCTTCCAACTAACAACGACTTTAGAGAATTCAACTGAGCGTCCTCCTTATTTGTTTCTACAAATGCTGCCTCAAGCAATCTTCCAAACATAGTAGGCGTTTTAGTCAAGATCAGAGTATCCGATAGTCCGAACTATAGTTCAACAATATAAGGATTTAAATATTTAAAAGCAATAAGAGATTTGAAAATAGTTCAATGTTCCAATCAATTTCGAAATCTTGGATGATTTGAATATTCTAAATGGTTTGGGAATTTTAACAATCTTCATTGTTGGACTGCAGTCCGGAATACTGGACACTCTGATCAAGACATCTCTCCAGCTCTTTTAATACACTGCTGATACATGATCCCGAACGAGTTCTCTACGAACAGACAGAGATTTGTATCTCACCCATGAAAGAATCTGCTACAGTAGGTTTTGAACGAGACCCGAATCATAATCAGATCGACACCTGGGTTCTTCCACGAGGTCCAAATTTACTGCGTTCACGGGTGAGCCAGTTGCACAATATCGGCGGTATTCTTATACACGGATGGACTATAGTACATACCTTTCTACCAATGCATACCCCTCTACGAATACACCCTTTGATCCGCCGTCACAGCGCCGCAGGTTCAAGCGATATCTTTTTACTCCGAGTGAACGTTCCTGTTTCAGGAAGTAGAATACTTGATACTGGGTTGAACTTTCGATAGCAGCCGTTGAAATATCTCAAGAACCGTAGGGATACGATCTGAGTGTTGACTGGCACTCGATCGGACGAAATATCGATATGCAATCAGGCAATGTGTGAGGACGATAATTAAGAAAACAGCTACGACAATAAATCGCGCCGGCTTGAGAAGCATTTTAGTGGTATCAACCAGGAGATGAGAGCGCAAGATTTTCAACAAATCCAGCCTGATATTTGTAGCTGTATTGAAGACGATTGACGCTGAGCGTAGGGTGCGTGATGGAATTTTGACGCATTGCATGAAATGGCGGCTACAGCTTGAGACCCATTTGTGTCGCTCTCAAGCGCAATCAACGCAGGGTTATGATTAGAATCCCATGGTGATTCATATCCTCAGCGCCCACTAACCAATGAATCTCATCCTAAACTGAGTTTCTGTGACGAAATTGTCCCGGTAGATTGGAACCGAAAAAAAAGTTAAGTCGTAGGCGCCAGGAGATAATTACTCAATTAAGGATTTTCTCCGACCAAGATCGTGAAAACATACTCCTGTTTCATGCGGCTTCTGCAGATAAAAAAATACAATACCATGACGATCTCATTTTTCCAAGATTGGTAATTGTTACACTTAACTTGAACATTCGCTTCCGGAAGGCTCAAGTATCTTACCCAGAGTCAGCAATCCGTTGTTCCTACGGAAGTAAGCATTACATTACACGGAACGTGATCGAAAGACGTTTCAAATGTAACATCAACGGGCTCCCGCATGAAAGAGAAGATTCTGTCCATGTCTGTAGAATCAGGGCTTATCCCTATCCTTCTTTTTTCTTTTGTTGGGTATCTTAAGTTCTGGGTTTTGATTGCACTCTCTGGCGATTAATAGACAAAGATGATTTCACTGGTTTTTTGGACTCTGATTTATGGTATCAATGCCTCGCTCGTCGTATTACCATCACCTATTCCAAGTACTACTACACTCAAAGCGCCGATCATACTGGAGAAACGCCAAGCAACCACTCCTGGGGAGACATGTGGATACGCAAATGGAAACGCAATGTTTCCTCGATCCGCATCACCTGGATATTTTTGCGGCAAAGACGCTCAGAACAGTTTATGGGGCTTCTGCTCAGACGCTGTTACTGTTGCTGATTGTGGACTCCACGGGTACTGCTTTGATAAAGGAGCATGTTCTGCTGGTTGCGGGGTTTCCGGATTGATTTCCACCACTTGGTATGTATTGCTCTTGCGCTAGCTATCGGATGAAACTGAATTATTCAAATAGCCAGCCTTACTGCTTTTCGGAATTTCTGGTGTCTAATTACCAGACCTATACGCATATTACGTGCGCAAATGCTCCCGGCTCAGCTGTTTGGCTGGCGGTTCCCACTATAACTTCTCCCTTACCAGAAACTATATATTCCTCGTCACGAGCGGCGGTAAGCATATCAACTCTGGAAAGAACAGTAACTGTGTCTTCTTCGTCATTCGCCACGAATCCTAAAGTATCAACTTCCACACCTGCTATCATATCATCAACCATAACCGACGATCCAGCAGCAACTTTCAACACCGGTATAGCTCCAGTTAGCACAGCATACCCATCAAGCAGTTTGCTAGCAGGGGCGATCATTGGCGGGGCTCTCGGGGGCCTTAGTCTCATTCTTCTTACAATCATCGTGCTCGTCTTTTTGAAGAGACGACACACGTCTACCCCGAAAGTCGTGAAACGTGAGCCAGCCAGCGAGTTACCAGGCACGACAGCTAGGAGTGAAATCTTTGAGATATATGGTGGTCAAGTTGATAGACGTGTTGATGGGCTTCGGAGCCCAAACATAGTACGGAAAGCGAGCTCTGCTGCTTTTTCTGGAATCTATTGAGGAAATGGTTGTTTTGCTGCTCTATAGTTGAGTCGGGATATTGATCTCATGTTATGAGCGATAGTCAAGAAAATGATGTTTATAAGATGTAGAATATCGTGATAGATTGCAGGCCTCAGAATTCTGGTTCAGTAAATTCAAGGGTAGATCGGCAATCTGAGAAAATTCCAATGATTAGAGGCTCTCCAGCTCCAGTTCCAAATTATCATCTGAAGGTAGTGAGTTGTAAGTTGGACCTGCATAATTAGTCCCAACTGTTGGGCGGTTGGTAGCTATTTAGCCAAGCACCCAGCTAGCCGGTACCACAATAGCACCTCTAGCCCTATAGAAAACGCCACCTGTGTTACAGAACTGCGGGTTCCTTTTTTGATCTTTAATGTGGTAGTAATAGCCGCCGTTATCGTAAATGTTAATTATCATATTATGAGGGTTCCCTCGTTGCAATAATTTCGATTTCGGCTTGGACTTTCCGTAATGTTCGCTGGCCGAAATGGACGACATAGCATGGTACTAGGTAGTGTATGTAATTCGTTATCTGAAGATGGATTCGAATTTCCTACTTTTCTTCATTTGCATAGGTTCAGGTGCCGCACATATTATTACTCCTCGAACAATCATCTCAACTGGCTCCCCCACAGTTCTCGGGTTACAACCTCGACAGACGACAGCATTCGCCACTTCCACTTGTGGTTTCCTGAATGGGAACGCAAATCAGCCACTGGTTGCGAACAGTGGCTCGGAGTGTACCTTTGATCCAACTGCTACGCTATGGGGCCTATGCAGAACTGGGTTGACCCTCACAGATTGTGGCTTTGGTGGTTATTGCATCGACGCTGGACCTTGTTCGACAGGATGCGGGCTAACAGGTACGGATGTAAACACATTGAGTTGGTACGCTTAGGATCGCTAGATATATTGGAGTGTAGTCTCTGACAAAAACTTTAGTGCAAAACAGAAAAGCGCTAGCTTTTGTGTCTCAAGTCTACTCCTCTTCGGCGCAGATCAAACTTACACACATATGACTTGTGCATCCCAAGCGAATGTAAGCCCGCCTGTCTTTCTATTTGAAGCAACCACAACCGCTCCAAGACCTGCGTCGACTTCCGAACAAAGCTCGTCGGCTGTAATAACGGCAAGCCAATCGAACGTGCAATCAAATCGGGAGTCTGCCACCCCATCCGCATCAGGTTCGGCCACAAACACTGCTAGCAAAGCATCAGCCTCTGATTCCGGTTCCAACTCGGGTTCGAACTCGATTTCAAAGTCTGTTTCAAACTCGGTCTCTTCTGGTGCCATCGAATCTCAATCATCAAATGCTACACCCTCAAGCGAACCGTCCCCAAGAGAATCTATCTTCACTATATCTGGCTCCCTCGTCACCTCCTTTTTCGGTCAAACAAATACCATAGGAGTTATAGTATCAATCACCACCACCGCCAGCGGAATCTCATCCCCCAGCCCCTCCGATTCTACCGCCCCAGCTCCCAAGAATCCTCCCAAGTATGATCCCAAAGCACTAATCGGCATTGTACTTGGAGTACTCGTCTTCCTCCTCCTCCTAATCTTCACTCTCATCTGGATAGGAAAATACCGACGAGCGCAAAAGAGCAAATCTACTACCCCAACAGCCGAAAGTCCACGAACTTCTTCTTCAGCAATCTTCCAGAAGTGATGGAGCCATTTGCGAGAACTGATGGGATCCATGAAATGTATGATGATCACGGGGAATTGAGGGAATTAGATATTGCAGGAGCAGTTGCTGGGAGGACAGGAAGAGTGAGTGTTAGGGAGTTGGCTGCTACGCCTGTGGTGGGTGGAAGACGAAGTGGCAGAAGAAGCGCAAGGGAGATGGAAGGAGATATGGCGTGGAGAAGAGAGAGAATAAGTATTAAGGAATTGGATGGTGGGGTATTCGTGAGGAATGGTCGAAGAGGTAACAGCATGACGCAGGTGTTTGAACCTGATGGACAATCGTACATATGATGAGATATGATTAATGCCATAGTACTTAATTAATGAGAACACGACCACTGAAACAATCCGGAAAGTGATAGGGCTCGATAATCTTCGGCACTAGCCAGAAAAATCATATATCAAGGACAAGTAGTATCAGATGAGATCGTCAAGTAGTGCATCATAACTCATGACATTGCTAGTTGTATTTACAAACAGCAGATAGACTCCATAATTCATTATCCCATTATCCAATTCCATTTAACTGATATTCCGCTCTTATGCAGTTCCAGTCTGTCAAATAGTTAGTCCTGTTCAAGTACGTGAAGCTTTATTGAAGCATACCTTTCTCTGTCCAACGAAGAATCCCAACCCGAAAGTTTCTGTAGTGAAAGTAATCTTACTTCCCTTTGGAACTAATCCAAGTTAGACTATAAGCTTCCAAAGTATTTCTGGGCAACTTACAGTAGAAAACATCGCCCTTGGTGGCATGAACCTTCTGTCCAGTTTCATCGCTAATATCAAACTCTCCATCAACGATAATCTTCATCTCATGATATGTGTATTCGTAGATCAATGGTGTGCCCTTTTCTAATCTGTAGAAGCCAGCTGATAGTGGTGCAGCTTCATCGGTAGATACTGCCACATCACCGAGGAATGCATTCTCGTTAGCAATGAGAGGAGGCTTGAACTCGGTTTGAGCATTGGCGTGGTATTTGAATGGAAGAGAAGACATCTTTTCAGTTTTTGATGAGGATTTAGATGATTTAGCTTTACTGATTATAGAACCCATTGTTAGTCTTGATGAATGGATAAAGAGGGCGATGAGGGTGAAGCGTGGATGAGATAGTAAGATGTTATAGAGGTGATATTTGGTGATTGAGGAAATGGGAATATTGGAAAGGATCATGGCCGTATTCATACCTTGAGTTCTTATCTTCTCACAGTAACTTGCAAAGTTCTTGAAGAGAGTTGATTCGTGAACATGAAGTTATTGTAAGGTATGTCTTGTATTTCTGCAGATGATAAGAAGAGTGTGTCGAACTGGAAAGAATCGCTTTCTTCGTCCATGGTGCCTTCATCTTATATATCCATCTCTGCTATTAGCTCCCGATGATGCAAAACCACCAAGTTGTTGGGCCATCCCACTGTAGCAAGAACATTTGCCATATGAGGTATTCTCAATGTATTCCATGGACTGTATTGCTGAAATAGGAAATGCGCGGGGTATGATATGCCTTTCTGAGATCTAAGGAGGGGTACATTTGGAGCTCGGGCACGACAAGAAAGGCATACGGGCGGATTTCGGATTCGAATTCAGGTTGTATTTTTGATAGGTATCGACATGTCTTAGCTATCGCTCTAGAGATTGTTTGGGGATATCACTATCTGTAGATGGAGCGTGCATCGTCGGTATCTTTGTGTCAGAAACTTTAAGAGCTTAACCGGCTGGTTGTTTTTAGCTCCCGTAGCTGATGCATTCTCATGCAGCAAAAATGGCGAATGTTGAATGAAGGGGTCGTCGTTGATCTGAGATAAGGAAGCGATGGAAATTTTGCCCGAATGTAGTTAAAATGAAGCTTATTAGTCGCGCCCCATAATTTTTGGGTTGATGCTTTTTTGTCAACCTGAATTCTAATTCCAAACGCAGGAAACCTTTTACACCAGAATGCCATCCAAGCTCTTCAATATCAATACAAACAAAGTAGATGAGATAGGTAATTATGAGAATAACACGGGTCTCTCTCTTTCCTCTAGCAATCTAGCTAGCCAATAAATTGCTAAAATGTTGTCGGCCCTCGCCCTTTTACCCCCTGACGCCTCGGGCTTTCGCGCCCTTCGCCCTTTTCCGCGCCCTTCGCCCTTTTCTTCGCCCTCTCGCCCTCTCGCCCTACGACGTGCAACAAAACATGAAATGTCACATGGAATTATTTCCATTGGTTAATAATTATAAACGTTAAGCTACTGATTGGTTTGGTCGATATTGACCCTGTAGTGTATTGCTGCAACGTCCTTCGGGCTTCGGATAAATGCTCATGTTTCAATTACAAGACCATCCACACTGCATCATGGATCCCATGGGCCTTTCGCCCTGGAACCCGTAAGAATATCTGCTTCACCATTCTCTCGCACGACAAAAACGTCTTCATGCCTCACGCCGAACTTCTCTTCAAGGTATATTCCAGGCTCTAATGTGAACGCCATCCCTAAATCTAGGAATTCTCCTACATTCCCCTTGTTCAAATAAGGACTCTCATGCGCCTTGATACCAATTCCATGGCCAACGCGATGTGTAAACGCTTTCTCGTAGCCGGCATCTGCGATGACATTTCGAGCCGCTATATCTACAGAAGCGCATGATGAATTCGGTTTCAATGCATCTAAAGCTTTAGTTTGTGCCTCGAACACTACATCCCAAATTGCGATCTTGTGTTGGGCAATTGGTGAAAGAAGCGAAAGATCTTTTGGTTTCGAGAAAAAAGGTGGAAAGAATGTTCGGCAAATGTCTGAAGAATATCCATATAGATGAGAACTTTGAGAAATCACATCAGCTTAGATACATCCAAGGAGTGAAGTGCTTAGAGCTCACCCAACATCGATCAACACGAGGGTCTCTTCTTCCAGAACTTTACTTCCATTTGGTCCACCATGTGGCATTGCAGCATTCTCATCTATTAGAAGATCAATACTATTCTCCGTTATGCTTCATACTCCACTCCGCCCAAATGAGAAGTGTGAGATAATCAGTAGGTACACAAAATTGATGTGCGTCACAAGCCAGTGAGTTCTACACAGTAGAGAGGTAGGTGCAAGAGAGGAAATACTCAAAGACCATTGTGCAAAAGAACTTGAGAGAATCAATGATTGACTTACCAAAAAGTACGATATCAAAGAATGGATCCATCCCACCAGCTCGCATTGTATTGTCAAGTCCAGCCATGACCTCATTTTCAGTCAAGCCCGGCACCATACACTTCCTCATAGCCCGCAATGCTTCCACAGTTCCTGTATTGACCGCCCTGAGTATATTTACTTCGCCAACTGTTTTCGTTTGCTTCACTCGTTTCACACTGCCAGCAAGTCCCACCACTTCGAAGCCATTTTCTCCAAGTCCTCTCTGGATGAAGTCTCTCATTTCTTCGTCGACCATCACCTTTGGAACTTGAGCAGACCCTACATCTTTCTTACCGACGACAGTATGCCAATTTTTCAAAAGCGTCAAAAAAGAATCCCAGTGTTCCTCCCAAGTAACGATGTACAGGTCCTCTTCGAATGGCATACCGAGCATTCTTACCCTCCCTTCCTCGAAATGTGGTGCCAAAAATGATGTCTTTGCAACAACTCTCCTCAAACTTGTATCATAATGAGGTGCAATGATCATGAGAAATGGTCGCTCTTCAGGCTCCCAAACTTCCCAGGCTTTTTGACTGACGTTGGCATAATACTGAAAGGTATATCCTGGTTCAACGATAAATGCATCTATTCCATCACTATCAAGAGCGACAGCTAGATTATCTCTCCGCTGGACGAATTCTGAGAGCACAATAGGTGAAGCAGTTTCTAGCCATGGCAACCCGGTCTCAAGAAATGTATTTACAGAGCATCTCTGAAATTCCTCATATCTGGACAAACCAATATCTCCAAGCATCAATGGTGCCAATTGCCAAGACTATTTGCTTTGAGTTAACATTGAATCTAATCTTCGAGGCTTGTGGCGGACACTTACCACGAAATTTGGTAAAAGTTGTACGACGAAGATAAGTATAACGAATGCAGTAAAGGCGTAGACGTGTCTCTTGGATGACTGAAGCCAATTCTCCGGGGACCTAAAAGACCGACGCTTTTCCATTTTGTGATGAGATATTTCAATGTTGTGTATTTAATTCATGAGATGAACATCATCGCACGGTGCTGATAAGGAATGTTCTTGATAGCAGGGGCGGGGTATCACCTAGGTGTGTGTGGAGCTAGATGCTAATTCCACCCCGATAACCAAATCACTTCTCCCCATATTATCTTCTTTTAATTCTCCTACCTACAATTCACTAGCATAACTGAGATACCTGAAGTTACCTAGGTATAATAGCTTTCCCAATAGTGCGGACCAATTCTGAAGATACTATTATCAATCTCATATTAGCATTCCAAATCAATCCAGCAATCAAATCTATTTCAACATCTCGAATGATTTCAATGTTTAGAAGGGATTGGATGTTCTAAAGTTTTTGATTGTTGGACTGCAGTTCGGACTATCAGACACCCTTATTAGTTTGAAATCTGTTTGTATGTCATTGGAGAAGTGTAGCTAGCTGCTTACCTTCTTTTACTATGAGAACTAAACTTTCTATGTTCATGACTGTTACCCGATGTAACCATCTTGGATTCAGGTCCTTCCTCCAAGCTATTGTTGACACATTTCAACGTGGTCTTTCAACAAAGCACTCCTGATAATTGGACATCAGGAGCGGACTAACGATGCATGTCCTGATGAAAGTAGTTATCTACCTGCCTTTAGGTATCGAGGCTATATTCAGATCATTCCCAGTTTGGTGGTAGGAACAAAAACGACCACAAATTACCATTAGTCAAGATCTCAAGTCGTGGTTGAGCTTCATGTCACAATTGGATTGACAACCAACTAGTGAGTCGGTGGTTCACCTAGAAAATCACTTGAAGAATAATCATTCACAGAAATATCAAATGGATGCTGTCAATATTCGCTTCATTGGATATCTAAACAATGCAATACAGATAAAGAGTTGAAACCCCTCATTCAAACCCCTCAAATTAAGTTCTGCTGAAACCTCCAGCAGGAGTGACAACTCTAACTTCAGGTGGTGCCATCAAAAACTCAGCTGCCTTGCTATCAACCTTGTATGATTTGACATGGGCACTCTCCTCATGAGCTTTGAAAGCTGCCTCATCTTTGAATCTGCAAGATCTGGTTAGCCCATAGATCCAGAATATATGAAATGGAAGAGGAAAGGAGAAGGGGGAACGTGTGACAGGCAAGTTACTTACATCATAGTCATAACGATTTGCTCTGGGCCATCACCTGACAAAGGCTTGGTCTTCGATACTTTGTACATAAGGCAGCCTGGCTCGGCATCTTCAACAACTTTGGCGAACTTAGCACCTTCGGCGAGAGACTGTTAAATTGTTATGTTAGAGAGTGTGAAAGAAGATATTCGAGGATAGTAAGAAGACGATTTGGGGGTTCGATGGAAAGAGTAAACTTACTTCCTCGATCTTCTCCGGCTTAGGAGTGAAGGTGACGACTCGGGAAATAGGACTCATGATTGCGGTTATGAGAGATTTGGATTGAAAATTGTTTATGATGAGGTGGTTGAATGGCTTGATGAGATTCGTCTTGTAGTGATTTGGTTGTATGTTGTAGAGCAATAAGGTTGGCTTTCTTGTCCTTTATATAATTCGAGGGGGCGAAGATCTCCGCATTAGATATCTCTCAATGTCGTACCTGTGATACTAATGCATTGACAGCTTGTAAGTAAAAATAGCTTCGAACTACGCATTCTCGAAAGCCGTCCTAATCCAACTATTGCTTGAGAGTCCGAGGAGGTGGTGGAACAGACGTGGCACGGGTCATTGCATAAGCAGATTCCCCACAACTCAAGATATCATAGCGGAAACTTCATGGGTTGCCTTTGTTTCGATTCAACCCTTATACAATCACAGCTTCCCATTTGTTGGCAGCACAGCCATAGCATGATTTTCGTGTCGAGGTACTCGAATAGTATTCGGTGACTGACTTGTTCTCAAGCACTTATGCTCGGAAGGAAATTGTGGGGTTCAACACTCCAGAAGATTGGATGGTGGATTTCAGCTTCATGTTTGAGCGAAAAAAGCAGTAATAGTCGGCTTTTCAAATGGCCGACTTGTTACCACACTCAACCTCTCAAGTAAGGTCATCGAAGACACTTATGTCTCAGGGATTTATAATGATATCCATATGTAGAAGTACAAATAATAGAAAATGCAGCGTAAATAATGCCATATCTTTATTCAACTTTTGACTGAGTACGATGATTGTTTAAAATAATATCAGATATTGAAAAAGAGTGTTTATTTTTGGGTTCTTGGTCGTCCCGCTGAGGCTCAGACACAGCAACTACCCGTGGACATCTAATGAGTGAGCTCGGAATACGATGTGTACATGGAGCTTTTGTTGTCCTAGAATTAAGTCCAAACGTCCTCAGTACTCAAATAACAAAACTGACCAAATGGATCATTGCCGTCCTTTTTCAAATGAAATTTCGCAATGGCACGACTTCATAATTTGTCTTGCTTCGAGTCCAGGTAACGCAGACGCCTCGATATATATATATATTCATGAAATTCTTCAAACAGCAAATGGAAATAGAATCAACCCCTGATTTTATATCATGACTAATAAACATAATGAATTGAGGTGCACGAATATCCCAAGCACGCGATTTTGACTATTTTGGTCAGAATCTCCGTACATATGTGTTGTTAGTGCTTCACGTAGTTCTTTGTGGTCCAACCTGAGCTCAAGTTCTTGCCATTTTTAGTCAATCCAAACTCTCACAACTGATTATTCCACTACTGAGAATGCAATAGGTGTGACCAGACGGAGCACTGGCTGGTGGGACAGTCCATAACCGCGGCAGCGGAAACTTCTACTGCAATTTCCAGTGTGACCAGCATGGCCATTGTTCTTCACATATTTCTCGATAATATCTTCCTTGGTATCCCAATATAGCCACACCATTGGCTGACGTCCAGCACCAAGAAATATCACATGCTTATCCCCAAATTCCATGGTAGACAATTTGCCGCGGAAGAAATATTGTTGCATTTGACCGTCATGAGCTTTCTTAGTGTAGACTTTGGTTGTAACATCAACGGAAACAGTGAGGTCGGGATAGAGAGTCATCAGATCTTCATCTACGTTGACGTCAACCATCGGGGCGTTGATATGTATTCGGGGGAGGCTTCCTGTTCCGTCATCCGTATGGTAGATGTGGAATCCGCTTGAAACTTTCTGGTTCTGGGCGATGAAGCTACGTGTTGCGTCGAACGACAGTGGAGAGTCAGAGTTCCGAAGCGTCATGTCGACTCGGACTGTAACAGTAGAACCTTCGGGTAGAGAGCGCGATATTGGATTTGGTTGAATTGTACCAACTATCTCGATCTCAGCATCGGGGCGGCTATTGAGGGGCTCACTGCTAGCTGTACTATCTTTCATAGTATCGTTTCCAGAAAGAAATTGCGAGAACCAGATGGAGTAGCCCGTTCGTAGAGCGACTTTGAAGCCTTTCATGCGAATTTGAGGCAACAGTGATCATTATTGATGATGTGGATGATGATGATGATCGAAATAAGGTGCTTATCCTTAAGATACTGGTATTCCTTCATCCATTGGCTGATAGTGTCATAGAAAGCCTGCCGTATCTATCGAACATATCGTCTTTTAGAATGAAGTTGCTCAAGCACATTCGGCCTTACTGCAAAGGAAAGTCCTAACAACTTATCATTGTTTTGTGGTCACAGAGTGACCAATAGTCTGGACTGTAGCCCAATAACAAAGATTGTCAAATCCCCCAATTCAAACATAACATTCAAATGATTTGAGATATTAGATTTGATTAGAACGTTAAAATATTTTTGGATTTTTAACTTCTTTTAGACATTCAAACCCTTGCTGGTTTGTCAATGAAGAAGTTTATCCTGCTTCAAAGCTTTGAGTGATGTCTTCGTTGAAGTCAGACTCGTCGAGTCAAGCATATCTTCTCCACTGATTCTAGAAAGTACAAAAGTTCTTCGAATGAATTTGCGAATGTTCACGATTGATCGATCTGGATTCTATAATGCGTGTTAGTATAGGTATTCCGAAGTATGATGGGTTGAAGGCGAAGAGCACGCATACCTATAGTGCCATATATCGAATCAGCGAATCAGGGTCAGCAGATTTCATGAAGGTGAGATAATGTCGTGATATGAGAATAGTCGGTGGAGTGTTTAGCTAGAGTTCGAAATGAAACTGAAGAAATAAGGCGTTGAGATTAAGATGTAGCTAGAGACTGATAGCGAGAGAGATGGAGGAGGTCATTTTAAGATAGATTTTCAAGAATCCGCCGAGGACATTGGAGATTCGAGAGAGATACTGAGAAAGACAAATGTGCAGGTAATGAAGTATTTTTCATAGAGCCTGTTACACCTCAATGCTAGTGTCACATGTCTTGTTCTCTTGTGAGTTCAAAATAATCACTCGTATCCTTGGCTCTGGGTTCCCTTCTTGGGTCATCAGTTCTGACTTGGCTTCGTCGCATAATTACGACTAAAAATGCTGAAAATATGAAGGTGAAGTGATGGTGATGCCTAGCTCCTCTTTGTGGCTTCCAAATTGAGCAACCACCACTACCATCACCACCAATATATTCATACATAGTGAGAGTCACCTGATGTCCTGGTTCCTTCCTCCTTCAAAATGCTCATTCTTAGCGAAGTCCCACCATGCCTAGATAATATTCTCAATTCTTCTTCTTCAATGCCACCCCAGGAAATGAAGAGCTTTTGTAAATATTACCATCCTTCCTTCGAATGGTTCATCAATTCAATCAACATCAATCAGTTCAATTGGCTTCATCAAGATCATCCATCAATTGATACAGCCATCAATTGACACATCCAACTTGAGGTTGTATGCTGACATCCTTCGATTACATTTCACATTTTACACTGCGTTATGCGACAAATGCTAACAATTCCTCCAAAGATCCGCAACCGTCATCATCAAAATTCCCCGTGCGAAGAACTACCATCGCGACCGAACCGGGAGAGACCGTTACCAAGAGTAAGTTGACATCCTTCACTTCAATTCTATCGTTAATAACCATAGATAGAGAGTTATCATTCCGCAAGATGTTTCGGACAAGCTAGCTTCACCGACAATTCTTCCCCCTGTCAAAGTCAAGTAAGTTGCCCTTTTGTCTCGAAATTTGACACGTGGTTCAGAATTCTAAGGTTCATGTAGTTTTTCTGCGAGCAGAAACGTAGAAATGGTGGCGTGGGAAGCTTTGCAAGCAGTGAGAGTGCAGGCGCGGGCGGTTGCTGCGTATCAAAACGCAGTTAGCAACTTCAATTTGGTCTGGGAGGAGGTTCGTAGTGAGGGCGCGATTGTGAAGCCTGCAACGGCTTTATGGTAGTTTTCTATGTGTATAATTGATATACACATGTTTTTTACACTTGATACGTTACTCAAACAGTTACACTTGCTCAATATGAAATGGAAATGATTTTGCTCTTTGTAACGAGAATGTTTGAGATCGGCTTTCACGATACTATGGCCACACTATGCTTTCTAAACCAAGCCGCGCTACCTTGAAAAGCTTCACCTTTGTGTGGTTGATTCAATGGTCCAACTCCGCTTCTATTCACTGTTTGCATAACCACAAAACCGAGCAGATGGTTGATATAAAAGCACATTCATCAATTCGCCCAAGAGAAACAACGAGCCAACGAGACGAGCTCGAGAGCTGTACCTGACGTTATGACGATTAAATTCTCACACTCGTGCTCTCGACATCTCAATTTTCGATGCTGAGAGATCATTGCTGAATATGACGCTTGACGCGCACTCCGAATAGATCTTTCGAAAGAAATATGCGCACAGTCAGGGCCGGATGGTAGAATTATATCAGCCAAACTGGATCGAGCGCAAGATTTTGGTCGAGATAGGGTACAACTAGTCCGCATCAGAGCAGTTCATCTCTCACATACACCAACCTAGGAGAACCTACCAGCATATTGTTCAACGAACCGCTAGTGACTACATATTTTTCTATGGCCTCAGCTTTTGGGAGACATCCAATACTGAGTATACCTTCATACCGGAACAGGAGACTTGTGCTATAGATACAAAGACTGTCACAGCTCTGCATCAGCTTTGAGTAACAGGAAGAAAACCGAGTTGAAAATAATCGAGCTGAAAGGTTGAAGGTTTGGATGTCATTCTCTTGACAGTGCACGTTACAGCCATCGGAAACTAAACTCTAGAACGGATTGTGACAGTTAATGAGTATATAGATGTCGGTGCAGATGGAATGAACTCGAAAAGGATTGAGGTGGAGGTAAACGCCGCCGATAAATGTAGAACGAGGGACTGTCCATCAAAAGCTAGATCCGTTGACTGAGTCCGGGCAAACAATACGGATTAACCGAGAAAGCACAATCACCCCAGACTCGCAAGGAACGAGATGAGTCGGTTACAGCTGAGCCTGACGAGGATGCAGTTGATGACAAGAGAAATACGCAGGAGTTTCTCTCTGGTATGTAATGATCACAGGCTTCTTCTTTCAGATATATGCTCCGATGGGTCAGCTGAGGAGTTGCGAAAGCGACCATGTTGAAGATTTTCAACTACAGGTTTTGTGTATATCGCACGGAATAACGATGCCATGCAACTAAACTTGCGATGAAAACATAGATTGTTTCAGGAAGGCTGCCTGGTCATGAGTCAAGAGTCTGACGACCCGAATGAAAGGTTCGCCATCGTTTCGGTGTGTGAGATGACCATAATTTGAGAGGACAATAGAACATGCATGCCATCCTGCGCAGCGACGTTGAATCCAAAAGCTGGACATCATTCTTAACAATTGGCTTACGGCCTTGCTGGTATATAAGAATGGGAAGTGGAAAGATGGAAGAGAGCTTTCTTACTCAGTGCTTGGTGACCTTGGCCACGAGGGGAAGGGTTGCTCTTCGACAGGAGAATTAATTACAGCCGGGCATCATTACCAGCAGGGAAAAGGAAGAAGGAAGAGGAGAGGAAGAAGGGAAAAGAGAGAAAGAGAGTTAAAAAGGGAAGAAAAACGAAAAAAGAAAAAGGAAAGAAAGCCGGAAGAGGAAAAAGTAAAAAGGGAGAAGGTTGAAAAAAAAGTGGTAGGATGGAGGGTGAGAGTGTTGAGAAGGTAGGTGCTGATAGGGGGCGGGCGGAGGAATAGAAAGGAAGAGAAAGGGAGATAGTATGGGGATGAGAGGGAAGTGGGGGCGATGGAAAGAGGGATGAGGCGACAAGAAGATGATATATCTCCGGTATAAATTTGGAATGAGGTTGATGAGAGAGCTGATGGACAGTTCAAGGACGTTTGCCGCAGCTTGCTGCAGCCCCTGAGACAAAACTTCTCTCACTAAACTCGACCAGATCAATATTTATAGGCTTAAAGCCCTTGTCCAAGATGCCTTTGGCATCCATTCTCTCACTGCTGGTAGGAACTTGTGGAGATGAAACCTTTCCACTGGTTACATTTTCCTGAATTCAGGTTTTGACTCATGAGTAGATTCAAGCAAGCAACTGAACGTCTACTTGTCTTTTCCTTTCATTTGGTGAATTAGGAGTGGTCCAAATTGCAATAGATTTACTTTTCAGTCTCTCGAGCACTATACCTCTACGGTATCTTTTGAATCTTCGATCTATACAACCGCGACTTCATCATCCTCTTCAAACTCCATTTTTTGCCATTTGTCTGGTATCGGAGGCGTTTTGTTATCGGCAACCTTCTTTCAAGGAAACAAAATGACTTGTTTTTGAATACTCGAAGAAAAAAAACAATTCTCCAAGTTTCCCCTACACTCTTGAGAGAAGACAACTTCCGCAGAGAATTCTCAACGCCTTTTCTTCGCTGCTATGATATCTTACATTGAGTTCTATAGGGGTTTCCAAGAAGAGTTACTTCTTTTGACAGCAGCTGACTCGAGTTAATTGAGATGTCATTGCGAAATTCTCACCGAGAAGGAAATCCAAAGACAGTGGAGAGCAAAGGACAATACTGATGATGAAATCTCGAGGCAAATGGACAAGCGACAGGCTCGGAGAGCCACTTGTCTGAAATCCTCAGGTTCACTTGTCTCCAAAGCAACCACACATACAAATCCACACATGTCAACCCATGGCATGATATCCATACACCATACCTCAATCAGCCACCCGCCGACTTCAAATGGAAGTTTTTCCACCCTCCTGGTCAGGCTTATATCCTTCTGCCCCGTGTTTCTCGAATCTCGAGTCTCCTGCATACCAACAGTAGCTTACGCTTCCGAAAAACAATCGGAGTCAGGTAGGCGCGTTGCCTTTGCGCTAGAAGCCCTCACGTTTTTAATTGGTGAATGCCGTTGTCATAGAAGCATGTACTCCAATTCTGGATGCAGATACAAAGAAGTGAAGATGTACCTATTTGAAGTGGTGTTGATAGCATGACGTGGATGAAAATTCGAAGATTCGAGGTTGGGGGATTAGGCTAAGGGAGAGATGACGATTTAGAAGATTGAAAGGAGAGGAGGTATATGTTGATATTAATAGATCTTGTTCTGGGTTGGCTCATATGCTTTAGGGCCCGTAAAAAAATGCGGTGCCAAGGCTTCAATTTTCGTGGAATATTTTAGGGCTTGGCAGTTTGGTTCCGTGCCGAATAATCCCACATCTTGCAGATCGGATTTTGGGTAAAAGTGCAGATAGCGTAATATATCATAATCCAAGAAATTGTTTGTTTTGAACAGATTTATATGAGGGGACTGGAAAATACAATACTGTCCTCGCTTTTAATCGGTTGAGTGTTTTTTAAGCTATTATGAATTTTATAAGATATGATTAGGCTCGAAAACCTAAAAGTTACGGGACATGACTCTGAAACTATGTGATTATGGGATATCGAAAAGACAGGTAGCTTTAATTATCATTGTGTAAAAACATTTTGATGGGAAGCTATTCTCACTTCCTCGTATTTACCGAGCTAGGTACATGGTCACTCAAATTTCCTTGCACCCTACGAACTCCCGCTCTCTCACTTTGAGTTCACATCTCATAGATAAAGCCTTCTTGGAAGTTCTTGTAGGAACTAGGCGGCCCGCTTACCAATAGAGAGCCGACTATCACACCAAAACTTCAAACTTGCACAACTTCCTCAAATCTCAACTATTTCTCACATTTTCAACTGCAAAACGATCCTCCTAGACCTCCAGACTTTCAAAAGGGAGAATGAGCCCCGCAGGGATCGAACCTGCAATCTTTTGATGGAGAGGACTGTTATTTCTAACAGAAGTCGAAGTCAAACGCGTTGCCATTGCGCCAGAAGCCCGATTGTTATATGAAGATAACGTCCTTAATTTGGCATATACTTGCTACTGTCTGTGCGCCTGAAATTGGCCGAAGGATATCACACCTTCCACCAATCTAGTCTTCAAGAAACTGTCGGGTGTGGGCACTTTTGATGGTTGGAATCTGGTATAGGTGCTCGCTTAAATCGACCGCTAAACCGTATTCCAACTAACTATTAATTTTTCAGAATAAAGATTCCAACAATGTAACCAATCGATGAGTAGTTAGTCCGCGCCGCTTGCCTGTATCTAAACCTGGCATGTAAGAGGGTCTCCCAAAGGAACCCTCGAACCTTAAGATTGCGAGTCCTCTCAGAATTAGACATGATTACCACCAATTACAAACTCGTCAAATGCTAGTATCCTCGTGGACAGTTTGAATTCTATCTATGATCAAAATTAAATCGTCACGATTGTGTATTGCGTTGATAGAACTTGTATTTAAGTGTCAATATTTTGATATAATCACGTGGTAAAACAAACAATGTTTCATTCACGTGATGTATCTGGCCCCAATACCCGCGACAGACAGAAAAGACCGAAATTCTACACCTCAATCGAAGTTCGATATTAAAACAATAAAGCAATGATCGTTATTGGAATTCTTGAGAAAAGAAATCCATGAAGTAAAAAGTCTCATTCATTGATTCGAAAGAATTCAAATTACAGAACTAAATTTAAGTTCGATTGTGGAAGAGAGCCATTTTCAGATTGCTCTCATTCTTTTGGGCTTGGTGTTCGTTTTTTCTAGCCGTTGCGAGGCAGGATAATATACAATATTGGACTGCTTCACGATTGACCTATTCAAATCCACAATTCACAATATACCCGCCCATCTTTATTCCCATTTGCTGAACTCTAAACTCAGTGCAATGAATGGGCGAGATCTGATGTGTCGGTCCTCAAGTGGAACCGCTACAGTCGTATCTGGCTTGTTACAACCAAGCTGTAACTATTCCCAAATGCTTCCATCTTACTTCCTTTAATCTCACTCATGTATCACGAGAACAATCTCTTGGGTCCATTTCCCCACACTCCGGGCCGCTGCCACCGACACATATCGGCAGTATTCTTGGCGGCAAATATCCTATATTGAAGAATCATTTTACCCACCCTATCATAGCGATTCCCCTGACATTCGGCAATCTGTCTTAAACCTTTTTCAACTATATCTTCAATTCACTCCCGGGAGCCCCGTACATAATAACCCTCTAATTCACCTCGTGATATCTCTTTCGAGCCATGAAGGGGCGGAAGATCTGTTGCCGAGTATGCGGGAATTACATGCTGAAGTTTTTAGTAAATGGATTTTTAATTTACGGACGGATTCCCTACTCAGTCTGGCGATCAAGTGAATGCCATGGCCCGACGGGATTGTTATGGGATCATTCTGTACAGTAATTGCAATATGTGCTAAAGTACTTAAGATGATACTGTCCCATTGATGTTAATCTATTAGAAGTAGTTGTCTCTAATCTCTCTATCTTGATAGAGGTCTCATTGAAGCCATGAAAACTGCTGCAATTTTCAGCGTGCTGTCCTTGGCAGTGGAGTTAGTATACTCCCAGGCTGCAGGATATACTCAATGTAAATTTCCACCAACGTGTATTATCATTACTTGATACCTAGTTACTGATTTAAAGATAGGTGGTGGGAATGGTTGGACTGGGGCGACTACCTGCGCTACTGGATATGTTTGTCAATCTCAAAATTCGTGTAAGAACCCCATCAAGTTGTACCTTTACATGAAGAAGAAATACTCATTTCTGTAGATTACTCTCAGTGTCTTCCGGGTACTGCTACCACTGCAGTACCGACAACTCTGACTACGACAACGAAGTCCAGTACCACATCCGCAACTTCTATACCAACAACGTCTACAATCTCTAAGCCAATCACATCCGCAACTTCATCCTCAAAAACTAGTTCGACGGCAACTTCCACGGTCCAATCGGCATGCACTGCTGCATTCACCCCAATCACTGCTTCTGCCGCATTCGCCGCATTAAATCCAGGGTGGAATCTCGGGAATACATTGGATGCTGTTCCAGATGAAGGATCCTGGAATAACCCTGCTGTCACTGCTGCTACCTTTTCAACAGTGAAGGCTGAGGGATTCAATAGTGTCAGAATACCAGGTAAAATCTCACTCCAATTCCATCTCATCCATGATTTCAATAGTACTGACAAGATTTATAGTAACATGGGCGTATCATTTTGTAACTTCTTCCCCCAGTTGGACCGTCAATACCACTTGGATGGATCGAGTTGAAACAGTCGTAGACCAAGCCCTTGCTACCGGAATGTACGTTATTCTCAATGTCCATCATGATTCTTGGGTTTGGGCAGATGTCTCTGCTAGTGGGGCCAATCTTACCATGATCGAAGAGAAATTCTCCGCCCTTTGGTCTCAAATCGGAACGAGAATGAAGTGCAAATCTAGTAAATTGCTCTTTGAAGCTATCAATGAGCCACCTGGAACAACACAAGAGAATGCGAACGAACTTAACAAACTCAACACTCTCTTCCTTACGGCCATCAACCAGGCTGGAGGTTACAACCCTCAAAGAGTTGTCACCCTTTCAGGTCTTCAGATGAACACAGTTTACACTCAGCAATGGTTCACCCAACCCACAACTTATACAAGTCAACCTTGGGGTCTTCAATTCCATTATTACTCACCCTACATGTTGATCTTTGACGCTTGGGGAGATACCATCTGGGGTTCTGATGCCGATAAAGCCACCTTGACATCAGACTTCCAACAATTCGCAGGTAACTTCACAGGCATCCCGACATTGATTGGAGAATGGCAAGCTACACCTCAATTTGTTGAGCCTGCCGCTAGATGGAAGTATACAGACTATTTTGTGAAAACCGCCAAGAATTTCAATTTTGCTCATTTAATCTGGGACAACGGACTCGATTTCTTGGATCGTACTACAAATACCTGGATTGATCCTATCTCCATGTCTATACTTTTCAACGGTGTTAAAGGAGTCTCCAACTCACTCGCAGACAGTTCGACAGATTATCTCGCCACCTCTTGGAACTCTTCAGCTTATCTCTTCCATAAAGTCGGCGATGCTGTCGTCGCACAATCTGTTCCTTACCTCTTGAACGGAAATACCCTGACATCTATCAAAACCTCCACGGGCACAACACTAGCAACAACCTCGTACAGCATGTCCTCAGCCGGTGTCTTAACTTTCAATCAAGCTTATCTCGCAACCCTCTATTCCGCCACAACAGCCGCCGGTATCAAAGCGACCTTGACTTTGACTTTCTCTGCTGGCGCTCCCTCCCAGCTACAAATCGTGCAATGGGCTACTCCAACCCTCTCACAAACTTCCTTCACCAAACAAACTACTACAGACCTCACAATCCCAATCAATTATGCGGGATTACCACAAATCGCAGCTATTAAGGCTTTGAATGCAGATGGGTCGTACATGGTTTCTGGTGATGCTTGGACCCAGTATTTGGGACCATTACAGCAAGCTCGATGGACCTGGGGCGCCTGGACGAGCAGTAGTACTGGACTGACGATTCCTGTTGCAGGATTGACTGCTATCAGTAGCTCATCTCAGAAGGTTATTTTAACACTTGAAGTAAGTTTTTTTCTAAAATTGGATTGGTAATTTGGCATACCTCGCTTCCCTTTCCGTATTACCCCTTCATTTACCTCGCTTCCTGTTCAAGCACAACGAACCCAATACAATACTAATGCCGCTATAGTTTTTCCCGAGAATCCAAGGACAGAACAGCGTGAACATCACATTCACATAAGCGTGGAATGACTAAATGGAGTGAGGCAATTTACAGAGTACATCATAGCGTGTGAATATCTTGAATCAACGAGCTTTGGTGTACATATATATAGTTCTGACCAATAGATTGAGCTGTATATATTCATGAATTCGATGCAAATATTACTTTCTACCAGAACTTGAAGCAATTTCCAAGAGATATATATACCAGTGCGACTACGTGATTTCCAAATCCAACCTCTATTTATTTCATCAGCGCCAGTATATCACCAATAAACATCCACCCCCACCAAATCCACCGCATAATCCACCAATCCTCCCGCCGCATTGCCAAATGTCAAAACGTTACTTCCAACCTTCCACCCACTAGTCAATACCCCAAATATACCGGTATCCTGCCACCCCTTTGTCCCGAACAATTCCGAACTCTTCCCACTCAGTGGAAATTCTGCGCGTGTCACTACGCCATTAACGCTAATCGTCATATTTCTTGTATTGGTGCCTGTAGTCCACGATGTACTGAATGCGATATCATTATTGCAAAAGTACACAGAGAGGTATTTTGTAGAAGTGGCAGTAGATGTTGAAGGAGAATTGACGGTAATGGAAGCGGAGCCGCTGGGCGTTAAATAGCCGATTTTGGTGCCGCTTGGAGTACAGTAGTTGGTGCTGCATGTTACGTGCGTGGCGGTGCCGGAGATACTCATGCTGGATGAGGAGTAGAATGTTGCGGGAGGAGATGTGATGGTGAGGGAGGATGGGAGCAGAGTGGAGGAGGAGACTACGGATAGGGTGTTTGTGCTTGACGCTGTGAATGAGAGGGGGCCTACAGCGAGGGAAGTTGAGCCAGCGGGAAGAGTGTATTTTTTTGAGGCAACAGTGAAGGTCGTTGAGGAGGTAGATGTGGTATTGAAATGTAGTGTAGCAGTATAGTTAGAGCTCGAGGTTTGGGCGTAGATCTTAGAAAATGTGATGTTTGAGCTAAGATCAAATTAGTCGTCAAGTACTACAGGTAGAACAAGGAATTACGGTGATAAACATACCCAGAAACAGCAGCGTCATCAGTGGCATATGTACCCGCTGTAGTTGTCCCCCCGAGTTCCAGAAGCATCGTTCCATGTGCACCCACATTCGCAGACCACGAGGTCAGAGCATTCCTCGTACTGATATTGGCCCAGATATCCTTGAGAGTACCTGCCTTTTGCAGTCCCACATCTGGAAAATTCAAAGTAAGTGTCCTTTCCGTATTTTGAAGGTTAATGAGCGCCACGACGGTGCGATTTCCACTCAATGGTCCGGCCCATACTTCATATCCATCGGTTGTCCACCTCCTTCGGAAACTTGCTGCAACACCCAAGCTATCCTGGTTATAGCTTATAACATCTTTGTTGCTAAGAATAGCCAGAGAGGCAGAGCTAATACTCGTCAACGGATCCTTTAATGCGGCTCCGATGACCAATGGACTTTTCAGAATCGCCCATAAACTAAAATGAGTTTGTTCCTCAGTAGTGGTAAAGACGTTATTCCCCACTTCCAACATATCAAGATCGAGCCAATGCCCAGGACCGGCGAAAGACGTTTGTGGTACAGCCTGGTTCAAAATTCGTGAAACAGTGGAATAGGATGGGATAATATCGTTGGTGATGCGCCAGGTGTTTCCCATGGCTGGAGCCCACGTAGAAGGAAAATCAACGCCCCAATCGCAGATCTGGAAAAGAATGGGTTTACTGAGAGTGGCTAAAGCATTGGTCATATTCTGATATCTGAGAGATGGAGATGTCGAAGGTGCATAATTGGTGTTTGGAAACCCAGTTGCTGCATCGGAATAGCAATTATCATCTGAGATTGTTAGCTTGAAACTTCGTTGTGTTGATTTGAATTGGAAGTGTACATTTCAGTAGATCTGCTCCCCATGAGGCGAAGGTTTGTGCATCTGTCAATTCGTGATCTTTTGGCAGTCAGCATTCATTTTCCTTGCGCCAACCTTTCAAATGGGAAAATATTCCTAGAAAGCCCAGTTTTTCCACTGATTCTTTTGGCGATCTCAACCGTAACAATCAGTAATAAACTCACATAGACTTCCCACTTGTGCTGGAGTTCCAGTCATACACATTTGCACCCCAGAATCCGAATATACGCCAAAACCCAAGCCCAACCCATGAATGAAAGTTCCCAAAGCTGGATATCCACTTGGAAATCGGTCAGGATTCCAAGTTAGTGTTCCATCAGAAGCTCTATCAGGCAAAGTCCATCCGCAATCTACAGTCACATAATGGTAACCGAGAGCAGAGAGACCAAGAGAAACGAGAGCTTGTGCGTTACTATGGATAATAGTTTCATTGGGGGAACAAGAATAATGGTTATAAGAGTTCCAACTAGTTTTCGGTTAGAAATGTTGACAATGAAATCAGGAGAGAACGGGTATACCTACCCCATGGGTGGAGTGATGGCTAGACCATTGTTGATTCGGGGCTTGATACTCTGTGGGAGTGCAGTAATGGATTGAGAAAGCAAAGAGAGAAGCAGCCATTGCTGCCCAGAACAACTGAGAGAGCGCATTTTCAAAATCAAATCACGATAATTTCAAAAAACCAACATGAAAACTGCAATCTGTCTACGATATTTCTAGTATTTATCTACCTCGGACTCTCGTAAGAGTCCCACACATGCAGCTTGCAGTGTACCATTGATCCTATTCTAGACTTATAATTTCTCCATCCTAAGACATTTCAACCTTTTGCATCAATCAGATACCAATATCGTAGAATAATATGAGGGGTAAAATGGAGAATGCGGAAAATTTTACAAGTATACCCCGCATCCTCACCGGGACTTGGATGACGAGATGCGCTCCAATCATCCGGTAGAAGGCAATGAACTCCGGCACTCCTATTCTGACATATCGTCTTGGCAGACGTGTAGGCTCTGATGAAGATCGTAAAGATTCGTTCTTTGGACGTCACCGGTCATCCTTCTCCAATATTCTAAGCATGGAGGCATGCAGCTGGTGTTTAACACTCAGTTTGGCTAACTCGTGAGAAGTCTTGTTTGTGGGTGGGTACGACACAATTGAATAAATCAATACGAAAATTTCCACGCTTTATATTCATCCCGGACTCTTGGTACCTAGATATTATTTTTTGTCAAATTCGGCCTTAGGATATCATAACAGGTATACTGCAGATACCTAGGTATTTGTCTTCTCGTGCCACACTACAACGTAACTCCCACCGCGCGGCCCAGCCCTAAATCCTCCATCCGTAAAACGACCACTGAATGCCAAGGGCATTACCAATGGATACCAAGTTTCTCTTGACTTCAGCTATTAAATATTAATAATACAATGTCTCATCCTTTACAGACTTCAGGCTCATATTGAAGCAACGAGGTTCACGCCCCTGAATGATAATTCCGACATTTCGTATCCGCTGTTGCTTCGTATCCATGTGTATAGCGGCGAGGGGCACAGCGGCGCACCCTGAAAGAATGCCCCTGCGTCCGCCTGACTTACATGAGATGAATTATTTCCCCTGAGTCTGACAGATGAAACTCTTACTTTTGATCTCATCTGGTAGTCTGAGCCTGATACTGCATTACACACAGAATGCTTTACTCAGCCTTATCAGCCACCCTACGATTCTTTTCATAGTATACCTATCCATTGTATTGAGATAACCTTATGCATAGGCAAAATTTGTTGGTGGCTGTGTGTTGTACGCCCCAAGGTGTGTGATGTTGTGTAAGTTTGTGGAAGTGAAATTCCCATAGTTTTGTGCTACCAAGAGAGAAGACTTCATTTCAATTTATAAAATGAGAATTGAATTGTAGATTTGCAAACTCACAAGGAGCTGGATATTTAATTACAGTGGAAGGCATACCGAGATAAAAACACATTATTACACAAGGTAATGTGAATTTGGAAGATTGGTGGCATTTGTATTGAGATTCATCTATACATGCCCCTTTCTTTGTCCTTTTTTTGCTGAATTTAGCCCTCCTCTTTTAAAATATATACAAGAAATATGTAACGACATGTTCTATCCCCCATGTCTGTGTACAATTCGCATTTCTCCGACAACTCATCTCACTTTGTGGGGTGGATGTTCTTTCTAATCGCCTATCATGAAGTTTAACCATTCATAATCCATCAACGATGCAACTACTCCTACCCGTATCCCGTGCTGAATTACTCTCTCTGCAATCTTAAAATGTGACAAACTACCTGCAATCATGTAATTATGCGATTATTCCTTTCCCCAAAAATTCAAGCCCAAACGCCAAAACGCAACCCAATGCTTTACATAAGGGTCATTAAGAGAAGAAGAACAGCGATGATAGTAAAAAGGCGGTAAAAATTGGGCCTGATGATGGTGATGTGTGAGATGAGAGAGATGTGCTGGTGGAGGAGGCATGTGTTTTGTTGACATTCTTCATGGGAGTTGGACAGAGCGTGGTGTTGACCAAAAGGGAGCCCGGCATCCAAACCTGTTTTTAAAATTAGCACTCATAAACATTACGCACATGCGTTGAAACTATGTCGACATACCTGTGGCTCTCCATTTGTCAAGGTGAGGGTGAACGATCCGCCGAATCCTGCGACAGTGCTATTACAACTCAAGATTTCAATGAGGAGATTTCCTTGGCTGAAATTGGTGTCTTCGATATAGTAAGGTCCAACAGCCGCTCCCTTGGTACCGACATTGGTGATAGCTGTGACGATCGAATGGACCATCCCTTTCCTAAACACCAATACGTCGTCTGTTTGTTTTATGACCGAGGCTTTGTATGCCCAATAAGGACTCCAATTAGAGTAATTGGTTGCTATCATGTAATTGTTGACGGCATTGCGCGCGGTGTTCATCGTTTTGATATGTTGATACAGAACTGCGGTAGTATCATACCCAGTTGGATTTAGCCAAAGAGCTCCACGGTTTTGAGGGTCGCCCCCACCGTCAAGGCCTTGCTCGGCTCCGTAATATACAATAGGAATGCCGTCTGTAAAAAAGTCGAATGTGAGGGCATTCTTCCTTTGAGACACGTCACTCGTGTAGGATCCAAAACGAGCAACGTCATGATTCTCACTAAAAGTACCGAGAAGTGTAGTATCATAACAGTATCGTTGGGTTTGATCGAATTGGTAGCTTAAACTTCCCATACCATTCGTCGAGTTTGACAGAATAGATGTGATGTAATACCAGGCAGGATAATTGAGGACAGAAGAGAGAGCATCGACAGCCCATTCGCATGCATTTGTAGGCAGCTCGTCAAAGACCTCACCAATAGTGAATGTATTAGCGGCCTTTTGGAAGGCAGGCCAGAAAGGCTTGTCGACGTGTTTGGCGGCATCGATACGAAGGCCATCAACTAGAGATTGGGTTTATGTTAGCCCACTCTTGTTGCAATATATTGTATTGTGCATGAATATTCCCCAGATTTTCCCCACAGCCAAGACTTCCAGAAAGAGCAAGGGATAAGTAAGATTCATGATCAGAAGTACATACGAGAATAATTGGCGACCATTTCTGTTACCCAGGTTTCCCATGTTTGCTTGACAAAGTCAGATTCAGTGTCCAGATCTGGCAATGAAACTGTATCGTCTCCCAGCCAACAATTTTGGAAGTTTGTTGCGTTTGAATAATCGCTAATATAACAGAAAGGGTGGAAGTATTCTTTTTTGTTGAACGGAACTAGAGTAGAGTAATCGACCGCGCTCCCTTTCCCTGCGTAGGCCATGTCGTTGATAACCGCATCAATCATCAGATACTATAGTGCGCACAATTGAATTAGAGCTCATGATCCATATGATTGAGTTGCGAATGTGAATGCAGCTTACCATGCCACGATCGTGCAAGGCCGACGACAAGAGCTTGAGATCATCTGCTGTTCCAAAATGTTCGTTGATCTTAGTGATATCTTGACTCCAGAATCCATGATAGCCTTGCCCATATTCCGTTGTTTCCTTAATATTCTGTACAACCGGTGAAATCCAGATCTGTGTTTGGCATCAAGTCAGCTCACGATGTCCAGGCTATTGGATTTTCCTGTCTTTCGTCGCGACGGTCGTACGAGACACGACAGAGAGAAGGATCGTTCATACGAAGAGCGTAAAGGGAAGCTGAGATAGACAAACTCACAGCCGTAAATCCCATGTCCTGGATGTAATCTAGCTGGTTGATAATTCCTTGAAAGGTCCCACCGCAATACAGTTGCGCTGTGTTGTTACACGCATAGGTAGTCGAGCCATCCGTTCTTGCGAATCGATCCGTGATGATTTGATATATAGATTGGCTTCTCCAATCGTCTGAAGTGGCAGCGTGAACATCTTTCACGAAGGATGTCAACAACACCACCCACAACATTGACCAAGTAACGAATGCCGTCGAAGTTTTCCTCTCCGACGTGGTCAACATGATTTCGAATCGTAAACTCGTAACGCGATACTGCCACTATCTTCAATGTCGCATATAAACAAAGAAGGCTGAACCCCCAAAGAAGAAGCTGATTAGATTGGCGTCGACAATGTAATCAATTTGCTTTCTTTGACAGCAGAACACAATAAAGAGTGACAATCGACGCAAAAAATTGTCAGTGGTCTACTACGACCCGAGATAGAGAGAGATATGATTTTCTTGGCACGGTGGATGTCCTGACGCTTGTACTTGATGCAGTCTAGTAGATAGGAGATCCTCCAAGTGTACTACCTACCAAACGGGCTGACCTTGTCGGGAACTGATTTGGAAGGATAATGGAATCAGGCTAAAATTGGGAGTGTGGACGGGTAGGTTGTAAAAATAAATTTTGGGGACATGGGAAAGGTGTAGTAGGAGGAAGAAGAATCAAGAAGCAGACTGCAGTGCCACCAACATTACTAGGTATTTACCTACAATAATAGCAGGATTAAGGGTAATTATGACGGGAAATGAACACCCGCGATCTACCCTACTTACCCAGCAAACGTTCTTCTAAGTTCTAAGCTTCTAAACTTCGATTTGATCATGTCAATCCCAAGATCTCCGAAAGTTCTAAATTCCCAATTCAGCAATTTGAACCCAGATTGAGGTGTCATGTGTAAAAGAAAGGTCTTGTTGAACTCGTTGGACGCCGTGGGGGACCTGGCAGGCTGGCACGTCCTTGATGAATTTGACAAATTAGCTGTTCGTATATGAACCACTTCTTGAGCCACTGTACCTATTTCAACGTGGATGGTAAATAGATCCCCGCCTTTGTTAATCTTAAATCCTGCACATAATGACTTGGCGGTGCAAAAGATAGGGGATGTATCATGGGTGGGAATTTTCTAGTCAGGGGTAGTGGCCACTAAAGCACTAACTACTGCGTACAATTAGTCCACATTGATTGCACTCTGGTCTGGTATTTTACTACTGAGGGGGGAAATCTCGGTGTACAAACAATACTGCTTTTTCTAGAATTGATTAATACAATAGTCGCATAATTTAGTAATATTGTTTACTAAACTTTTGGGTTAACTTTGGTGATTTTTACTGGAAACCGATTGAGCCAGACCGCCGCTGGTAATGGCATAGAGAATCGATATAAAG